GGGCTAGGAGCACCCCTGGGTGTGGCTTTGCTTCTCTTCTTCACGATGGCAGCCTGCCGTTGGTGGCTCCTGGCTGGGGAGCGCCAGGTGTTGAGAGGTCCTACAAGTCTCCAGTATCACCCAAGATCTGTCCTTCCACAAACTTTAAAGTAATAAACATTCGATGTGTCAAATATTGGTAAGTTAAAAGTAAATAAAATTAGACAAGGTAAAACTCTCTCTCTTATCGATAAGATAATTAATTATTAATAAAAATGTTATTTATACATTGTTGTTGTATATTTTGTGAGTCTCTGAAAATAAAAACCTCTAAAGATAAAAAATATTCTGCAACAATTAATTTTTGGCAATGCATTTCTTTTTATCTCTACAGACCTTACTACAATGATAAAAGTTACGGAAGGAGAAAAAATAATCGCTGCAGATTATTCGATATATGGCAATTAAATTTATAAAAAAAATAACAATTATTAATTTATTTGTTTTCATTTATTCAAGTAAAACCCAGGTTCTTGGAGCATACAGAAGTCACCAACTACCCGGGCTGACATCTTCTTGGTTTTATTTACAATGTCGGTGGAAGTCCAATTCATGAGGTGGAGTCAGGAAGATTTATTTCTTGGGAGATTTTATAGATATTCTGTACTTAGGTTTGTGATCCCTAAGAGGATGGCTGTCAGGAATCTTTGGTATTGAAAGGTTGGGTAGGTGAAGAGGAGGTGTTCCAGGGTTTGGTCTTCATCTTGGCAATGGGGGCAAGTTGGGTCTTCTTTCAATACTCTTGCAAAGTCTACCTGAATGTAACCACGATCAGTCAGAAATCCATGTTTGATGTATTAATTTACAAAAGCAAAGAGGCGACTCTATGTGTTTCTGAATCGTCATACAGAGCAGCAGATTATTAACTAAAATAAAAATTTAGAGTGAAAAATAAAATAAATTTTACCATATTGAGATTCATTACAAGATCAAAGCCTGAAAACTACTCATTATCCATTAATTACACTGGGTAATAACAATTTTCCCCAAGAGAACCTGAAGGTGTTTCTAGTGGAACTTTTCATGCTGAACTCAAAATCTATTCAGAAATTATCCATCACCCATGGTTTTTGCGAGACAACCTTTTTTAGTATTGGGATGAACACAGTAATAAATGCAAACAATATTACATTAAACTGGTTAATTAACAAATATTTTCTTTGTCCCAAAATAAAAAGCATCTTATCTAAATGTAACTCTTTGTTCTAATTCCAAATATATACCATTAGTTTTTTCTATCAGGCGAGGTTTTTGAAGAGACACCTACTTGAAATTTTAAAATATTTTTAATATATAGGACTATATGAATGAGAAATATATTTATTTTATTGAAAAGTAGTGACAGTGAATTTTCTTCTATACTTTGCTTGTGGTATATCCGTCTTGAGTGTCCAGCAGTAGTCAGAAATCATACTGGCACCCCATTTACCTTGGTACTGTGTCTCCACACACACACACACATTCTTGATATATCTTGATGAAACCTCTCACCATGCTCATCGCTAACTGCACCAAGGTTGTCGGGAAAGAAATCTGGATGTGAATGCAAGAAATGGATCTTGAGAGACATGTTACTTCCCAGTGTTTTGTAAGAAAGTAAGAGTTCATTAAATGAGTCACTGTAGTTTTCGGCCTTCACATTTCCCAAAAGGTTATTCCAAACGTTTCTAAAAGAATTCCATGCTGCTGCTTCAACTTCATTTAAGCTATCTTCAAAATTCCCATCCTGCAGCAATTCTCGGATCTGAAGTCCAGCGAAAATGCTCTCTTTAATTTTTGCATAACTTATGCTAGGGAATTTTTGCTTCAAATAGGCAAATCCAGCAGCATTTGGATTCATTAATCTCAGTTTTTTTATGTAATGGTGGTAATGGGTGTAATGTTTTTCATATTTGACTAATGCTAATGTGCAATATTTTTAAGTCCTGAAGTTAAGGATTTATGGTTTGGCTAGTTATATAATGCCTTTCCATGTCTCTACTATCCCACTCACACAGAAAACAACAAAATTTCGTATATCCCAGCTGTAAACCAAGCAAGAGAACATTGACATACAAATCATTACAGATTTCCCAGCTGTCTCTGTCATACTCTACCTTTTTCAAAAGCAGTTTGATGCTTTCATAACTCTCTTTCATGTTGAATGCATGTGCTATTGACACCGATGGGAACATATTACCGTTGTGAAGGAGAACAGCTTCAAACTAACTTCAGAAGAATCAATGTATAAGTGAGTAGAGAGCGCCATTCTTCTGTATTATTTTCATAACCAAGCGCATCCATTGAACTAACAACATCATTGCACTTCACTAAGCCTGACAGTAAAACGTATAGTGTGGAAATTCCAGACTAAATTCACTATTACACATAGCGAACTATAATATCTTCGATTTCAATAATAGAACATGATTATGTTTAAATAGTGAAATAATTCTTACTTGGGCAATGCAGCGCTTTACAGTCATTGGGATATTAGTGCTGAGGTAATAATCCATAGTAGTTTATGCGTGAAAATACTTGTAGTGAGAATAGAGTACCTAATTTCTTATTCTTGCATAGTCGAACTGTACACATTAGATTGGTCTAATGTAGTTCTGATAACTAGAGGAATGTGTTTCTTTGTAATGTATTGGAATATGTGTGCATCTAACAAGCCACCAGAAACCGATGTTTCAATATCTCCGCCACGTTTTTACCAAACCAATATTTTACCGAACCTATATTTCCCATAAATGCACTAGACGAACTGAAGGTATCCTGCTGGGGTCAATTATAGCAATTTAATCGCGAATTTTATGGTTAATTTCTTTACTATGACATCGAGAGAGTTTATTCTTGTTTCTGCCCTCAGAATATAACCCAGAGTATAACTTGGAAGGTGTAAATATCGCCTAAGAAAGGTATCATGAATTTTATTTAATATTACGGCCTAATCTCTCTCTCTCTCTCTCCAAAGCTCCAAAAGAAGCAGCCTCTACTGACCCCTTTACAATAGGTAGAGGAAATGTTCGAAAGCTTGAATACCAACACCATCCTAGAACTTCTTTATAAAAACTATTATAGGAAGGAGATAGCTGTTGTCTCCCTTTCTAACAGGGGGGACGTCCTCGAGTACCTGTCGTCTTAGCAGAGGTCTGCTCTGAAGCAATTCCTCGACATGGCAATAGCACATGTCGGGGAGAAGTCTAATCTACGTCTGTCCAACTTCAGGGCAGAATGTGACATCATACCAGACGACCATCAGTGGGATTCCTCTTATTAAAATAATATTTAATTTTACTTTTTTCTCCTATTAACCCTATGTATTTTATATGTACGATTAATAAAAGTATATTCAATCTCAATCTCTCTCTCTCTGTCACATGTGCCCAGATTGGATCCACATAGAACAGAACCGCTAAAATCCAACAATTTAATGCTTGCGTGGAAAGAATTTATCTTGGATTTTAAAAGAATCTCTCCAAGGATCACTGCCATGCCCTTAACCCTATATATCAAAGCAACTTGGGTAAAAGCAATTGAAGGGGTGAGCGGGTATTCCAAGTATGTATATTTTGATTTAACGTTCAAAGCATGATTTTCCCCAATACCATTTATCAGAATGCGTCGTCTTTACACCATTTCGAAAAATTATTATTTTTTGCTTACTTTCATTCAAATCAGTGATGTAAAGAAAGAACACTATCAATAGCAACAATGACAGTTGCCAGGAATGATAATAGACAATACTATTGTTGTCATTTATTTTGTTCTTTCCAATCACTAGAGAATACATGCATATTTATGTTAATAACTATATCGATGCATTTATAATTCTTATGTCATAGTAAAAGCTTTTAAAAACATAGATAAAGGAAAATAATGAAAATTGAAGGTTACACACACAACTTTTTGGTAATCTCGAAATTCTGGCCTTGAAACTCCTCCACTCTACAACTTCCTTGAGTCCATCAAGACTTCTTCCTTCCTTCAACGCGTCAACTACTGAGGGTGGGCCATATGGTCTCTGCGTCTTCGAGGCGAAAACAGGTTCCTGCGGCCGCCAGATCTGCTGGCTCCCGAGCGTTGGCTACAGGCTACTGTCGGTGACTTCTACTTCTCCGATGACGCCCCTGCCCTAGCGCGCTCAACGCGGGCTGCGATTCTGGACCTGGAGGCCTTCTGCCAGCGTCTCCTGCAGGAAAACGCCAGCTCTAGCTATTATGGAGCACGAGGCAGAGACCATCGTCCTGCGGCGATCGGCGACTCCCATTACCCACCTAACCAGCCAGAGGGCGCGCCGGACACTGGATTAGGCACGGCTGCAGGAGCATCTTGTTGCCTAGCTAGCCGCGCGGTGGACCCCCACTGTGGATGTGCCCCGCTCCATCCCCTGGGCTGACCTCCATCGAAACTGATTCTTGGGGCACGACGCAGATATCGCCCAATGGCTGGCTCTCCACGCCTTACCACATCCTTACCATTCTGTCTCGAGGCGTGCCACCTGTACCGCCTGTGGGTCCAACCCACAGATACTGAAGATGCCGAGCCGAGCGATCCCTGCTCTGGGAGGTGTTCGCCTCCTGAGAAGAGCCCCTGGATCCGCAGGCCTGGCTGTTTGGCATCGGCCTCGGAGGCAATGAAGTTGACAAGTGGGAGGAAGGCTACCATCTACAATTACCATCTTGGTCTTGAGTTGGGCAACGCCAGCCATAACATCGATCTGCCTACTCTGGGTGAAAGAACTTTTGCTGTACACTGGTGGCGAAGTCTTTCCCGCCGTGGGCGCCACCAATGAAGACTAAATATTATATATATATCTAAAGAGACAAAGGTCGCCTCTCCCGTCAAAATAGACGTCAAAACTAGACGCCATCTATAGACGCCTCTAGTTTGCGGTGACGGTCAATAGATGGCGTCTAGTTTTGACATACGGGAGAGGCGAGGGAGAGGCGATCTTGGTCTCTTTAGATCAATATCCAGGGTAGCCTAGTGGACATGGCACCTGCCCGGTAAGCAGAAGGTTGTGGGTTTATGGGGACCAGGGATGCAGCACCCCGCCGACGCCGCCCGCCAAGATAAATAAACAGGCGGCCGCCATAAATCACCAACCACAGCGGAGGAATCCGGAGAGAAGGGACCAGATGTACATTCCGGGGCGTTGTCGTCTTTGTCTTCCCATGTGAATGTAGTGTTAACAAGAAACTTCAATAAAACACTAACTTGAGAAACTTTCTGAGCCATCGCTGGACCAGTAAATCGACACACCACATTGGTGAGCCGGACGTGATTGAAAAGAAAAAGCATACGAAGATTTCAAGAGATAAAGAAATGCAAAAAAGTGATTCAAGCTTGAAAAGAAGCATCATCCAGGATATCGGGATATCATCTCAAGACTAAGATAAGTTTTTATATTATCTTCCTTGTTATTTTATCTCAATATTTTAATTTTTAACTTTATCTCTAAGCTGTTGTGTCGAATTTAAATTTACGTAAAATGGAAACAGAAAATAAGCCTAGCGATACCTCAGAAATATGCAAAGTTAGTGTTAAAATACCGCCTTTCTGGGTTGAAAAACCTGAAATATGGTTCTTCCAGGTAGAAGCACAGTTCAAAATAGGTGGAATTATTCAGGAAGACACAAAATTTAATTATTTGATCTCCCAAATAGAACCTAAATGTATAGAAAACATTTGGGACATAATTAATAGCAAAAGCGACAACAAGTACTCTGAATGTAAATCACGACTACTTGAATTGTTCAGAGAAAGTGAAGGGTTGAGAATTAAAAAGTTAATTTCAGGTATTGAGCTCGGAGACATGAAGCCGAGCCAGTTATTACAAAAGCTCAGATCCCTCGCTACCCCAGATATCTCTGACAATTTAATTAAAACTTTATGGCTCGATAAACTGCCCACATCCATAAAGAATATACTTGTTGTAAGCGAAGAGGACATTAGCAAATTGGCCATAATGGCCGATAAAATAAATGAAATAAACTCCTCCAAAGAAATATATGATACGGAAGTACCTTCTTCATCAACAGATCGCTTGATCGCCAAATTGGAAGATCTTGAACGGCAGGTGTCCGAATTGAGACTGGATAGATCTAGATCTCGATCCAAAAATAGGACTCAGTCAAGACCGAGAAGTAATTCTCAAAGATCTTTCGATCCAAAAGAGAAATACTGCCATTACCATTTTAGATTTGGTCCTAATTGCTTGCAAAATAAATGCAGGTCTCCGTGCAGTTGGAATGAGTCGGAAAACTCCAACCGGCGGACAGAGTAGCGACAAGCTCTTCTGCCGGCATTCAGGATTGTCGCAATCTCCGATTATTTGTGACGGACAAAAACACGGGATTGCGCTTTTTGGTGGACAGTGGTGCTGATATATCGATAATACCTCCAAAAGATAAAAATAGGATGCCTAGCTCTGATTATAAATTATATGCAGCCAATGGTACAGAAATTGTTACCTATGGAACAAAGGTTAGAAATTTGGATATCGGACTTCGACGTCAATTCCAATGGCCTTTTGTAATCGCCAATACCAACAGAGCAATAATAGGAGCAGACTTTCTGAACAACTTTGGATTGATTATTGATATAAAAAATAAACGCCTAATTGATGGAATAACTAATCTTTCCATAAGAGGCGTCATTCAGTCAATCTCAGACATGGGAAATATTAGCACTCTAAATTCATCATCCAAGGTCAGCGCTATCCTAACCAAATATCCTAACCTATGTAGGCCACCATCAGATTTTGTAGAAGCAAAACATAGCGTTAAGCATTATATTCCTACAAGAGGTCAGCCAATTCACTCAAAAGCCCGTCGCCTAGATTCACAGAGATTAACTTTCGCTAAGGCAGAATTTCAATATATGTTGAATAATGGAATAATTAGACCCTCAAATTCTCCTTGGGCGAGTCCACTACATTTAGTTTCAAAAAAGGACGAGTCACTAAGACCTTGTGGTGATTATAGAAGACTCAATGCAGTTACACTTCCAGATCGTTATCCAATCCCTAGACTGGACGATTTCCACCACATCTTAAAAGGTACTCGTGTGTACTCAAAAATAGACCTATGCAAAGCATTCTATCAGATTCCAATTGCTGAAGAGGATAAACCAAAGACTGCCATCATTACTCCTTTTGGGCTATTCGAATTTAATGTAATGAGTTTCGGTCTTAGAAATGCTACTGCTACCTTTCAGAGATTCATGCATGAAGTCTTAAGAAACTTGGACTTTGCTTTTGTCTACTTAGATGATATTCTGGTAGCCTCTAAAACGGAAGAAGAGCATTATAGCCACCTAGAAACCTTATTCAGCAGACTAAATTCCTATGGATTAAGAATCAATCTTTCTAAATCTAAATTCCTAGTACAGGAAATTGATTTTCTAGGATACCTAATTACCTCTCACGGTGTGAAACCACTCCCATCAAAGGTTAAAGCTATTCTAGAATATAAGAAACCAAAAACAGTTCATGAATTACGCATATTTCTGGGAATGCTAAACTTTTATCGTACCTTTTTGAACAATGCCGCAGAGACTCAGGCAATCCTTCATGAATACTTGAGGGGAGCCAAGAAAAAGGATAGAAGCGAAATAAAATGGACTAAAGAAGCTGAAGTTCAGTTTGAAAAATGCAAACAAGCCCTAGCTAATACAGCACTGTTAGCCTACCCCGATACTGAACTGCCTATCTCACTCTGTACAGATGCTTCAGATCGGGCAGTTGGATCAGTTCTCCAACAGCTTGACAATAATAATTGGAAACCAATAGCATTTTTCTCTAAAAAATTAAATCCTGCTCAATGTAATTATAGTACATATGATAGAGAGCTTCTCGCAATATATTTGTCTATCAAATTCTTCAAGCACCTGCTTGAGGCACGTGAATTTACAATTTTAACTGATCACAAACCTTTAATTTACGCATTCAAACAAAAAAATGAGAAAGCTTCTCCTAAACAATTAAGACATCTACAATACATTTCCCAATTCACTACTGATATCAAGTACATAAAAGGTACTGACAACATAGTCGCCGATGCTCTTTCCAGAGTTGATGCTATCACAACTATCGACTACGAAGAGATCGCCAAAGAACAAACTGGTGATTCAGAACTACAAAACCTGATATCGAAGAATACCTCTCTAAAATTTAAGCAATGCCCACTACAATCAGGCAATTTGTTATGGTGTGACGTGTCTACTAATAATATTAGACCATTCATTCCAATTAAATTCCGAATGATGGTTTTTAGGAACTTCCACGAACTCTCACACCCAGGCATCAAAGCCACTACTAAACAATTAACATCAAGATTTATATGGCCCAATATGAATAAAGACATTAGAAAATGGGCTCGAGCTTGTGTCAACTGCCAAAAGTGCAAGGTGTCGATACACACAAAATCAGAAATAGGCAAATATCAAGAAGTGGATGAAAGATTTAGTGTTGTCCACATAGATCTAATTGGTGCTTTACCTCCATCGAATGGTAACATCTACTGTCTGACCTGCATCGACAGGTACACCAGCTGGATGGAAGTTGTTCCGCTACCAGATATGAAGTCTGAAACGGTAGCGAGAGCGTTCTACGAAAACTGGATTGTTAGATTTGGAGCACCGCATACAGTGATATCAGACCAAGGAAAGCAGTTTACTTCTCAACTTTTCAAAGATTTAACAACGCTGTGTGGTATCAAACTTCGTCATTCCACGGCGTACCACCCTCAGTGTAACGGGAAGATTGAAAGGCTTCATAGAACCATTAAAACTGCCATTCGTGCCCACAATAGTATTAAGTGGACAGAAACGCTGCCAACAGTTCTCCTAGGCTTGCGTGCTGTGCTATCAACAAAGATAACAACCATTCTTTGTCTCAGATGGTATATGGCAAAACCATCAGACTGCCTGGCGAATTCTTTGATGATTCTAAACATCACCTGCATGCTGAAGAATTTGTTCAACAGCTTCAAAAGCAAATGGAATTGCTCAAACCCTTAAATGAAAAACATCATTCGAAGACTAAAGTATTTGTTCATAAAGATCTGAAAACATGTTCACATGTATTTATCAGGACAGATCGAGTGAAGAAACCTCTGGAACCACCATATGAGGGACCCTTCCCAGTCCTTGAAAGAACAGACAAGTATTTCACACTCAAAGTGAAAGGAAAAAATGTTACCACATCGATTGACCGATTGCGACCTGCATACTTACTGGCAGATTCGGACAATATAACTGCAGAACACCCTACTGCACCAAGACCCATCGCGTCGGGAGCGCTGCCTTCTACATCGTGCCAACAGAATCCTGACCCACCAGATGTGGAGAAGTACACAGAATTCCAAGGAACAGGATCAGCACCAGACCTGACTAGGACAAGATCGGGGAGAATAATCAAGAAACCCGTGAGATTTAAGGAGCAATAGACTATATTTCTCCTTATTTTATTTTCTTGCCTATATGATGTATATATATTGTACTTAACCACTTTGTGCACAAATCGTGACTACGCCACTGGAGGGGGAGTACTGTGGGGACCAGGGATGCAGCACCCCGCCGACGCCGCCCGCCAAGATAAATAAACAGGCGGCCGCCATAAATCACCAACCACAGCGGAGGAATCCGGAGAGAAGGGACCAGATGTACATTCCGGGGCGTTGTCGTCTTTGTCTTCCCATGTGAATGTAGTGTTAACAAGAAACTTCAATAAAACACTAACTTGAGAAACTTTCTGAGCCATCGCTGGACCAGTAAATCGACACACCACAGGTTCGTTTCCCGCCCCTGGACACTTTTATTTTTCCGTTTGTCATTACTCTTCACGATTCATCCTATCATACTTCATCCTTAAAGTTAGAAATAATCGTTATTTCTCTTTAAAATAGATTTCGATTTTTGTTTAAAAGAAACATTCGCGGTATAATTGCAATTTTCGTTTTACAATCATCAGCCGCGTTATATTGTATTTTAAATATATATATGCATATTTATCATTTATTCATCTGAATTTATCCATATCTATATATATAAAAATGAATGT